GCATTTTATTTTTACTATGAATTTTTATTGTTATTGTTGTTTTTTTAATTCTTTGTAATTTAGTTTAGTTTATTTGGTTGATTTGTGCACAATGCTGAGATTCTGCAATTTGTAGATTTTTTTTTTTTAAGTTTAAACAGAATGCTGTGTACATGGTATTCTTTGAAATTTATTGTTGTCATGTTAACTTATTGAAGCCAGGTGTGCATAGTTCATAGATTCCTTCACTGCCTAGAATGTGCAATTCATACATGTTTTTTCAAGTTAAAACATATCGCTGTGTACATGGATTCACGTCAAATATTTTTGGTTAGAAACTTTACATTTTTGCCACCTAAATTTTTTGTTTTTGTTTCGGATTTTTAGCTTAAATTGTGTCTTCAAAACGTGGTGTTTTTTTAGACATTTTAGGCTTAAAATTCGAAATGTAGACAAAAAATTTAGGTAGTAATATGGCGGAGTGGAGTTTCTCGCCAAAAATGTTTGGCAAGAAATTTGGTGACCTGAGAGCACATGTAAGAGTAGTTCCTATTTTTTTAAAAGACATTTTATCTGGCATTTAAATTTCTTATTAATTCCTATAATTTTGACTTTCAAAGAAAATTAACCTATTTCTGTATTTCATTTGCACCTCAACTTGATTTTTTGACAAGCAAGCAGGAAGACTTGGAGAGAGCAGAGCAAAATATTGGTTAGTTTTTAATTAATGCAGTCCTCACAGCAACTGAAAACATATATCACAGTAAGTAATAGTTGAAGGATTATGGTATGAGAATTATCAACTATATTGCTTAATACAATCCATACTCTGCCACCCAAACGGTATAGTGGTTATTGACCAAAACGCTGTTGCATGGACCTCCGACCTAAGGTTCTACACCAATCAGAGTTATGTCCATGCAACAGAAAAGAATCTACCATCCACCACCGGCGGCATTCACTGAATCAATGATAGTAATATTACAATGCTAAATTGACATATTATATGATAATAATATCACAATTGCTAAATTTACATGCTATATTATATGATAGATATTACATGCTATATTATATGATAGTAATATTACAATTGCTAAATTTTTCATACGGATTATTATGTATCAATTATGGTTGATCTTTACAATATGGTAACTGGTAGTTTGGCGACATTTTGGAGGCGATAAAGGTTACTACCTGGGACTTTGGTAATAATGTGAGCAGTACTCAGTTCCGATTACGCATTATTTTGTGTGAGGGAAATGAGAGATCATGGGATATGTCATGTGATATTATGGACGAATTACGGTTCTTTAATCGGAAAAGGGGGAAATCGGGAAAATCTGGAAATTTTGTATTTGGTTATTCTGTGTTGTGGGAAAACAGTGTTTGTGAATTTTTGGATCCCATGGCCGTAACTAAAGAAAAGTTTATCGGACACGTAATCAAGATTCTGAAGAAGATGAGGTAAGTTAGTATTTTTATTATTTGAGGATATTATTTTTATGCATTGTTCTAAATCTAAGGTGGAAGTAAGGAATTTGGTATTATTGGGAAATTTGTTATAGCAATGATTTAGTTTAAGTAATTAGGATTGTAAGGTAATTTTTATTAATTTAATGTATGTGCTCATTTATATTTAAGTAGTGTTTTTTGAATTTAATTATATTTTAATTAAATGATAGTTATTTGTGAATTTTATATTTGTAGGAATTTGGTATACGTTTCAGTTGAAGTAAACGTGCATGGAAATAATTTAAATCTGACACTAAGTATTTGTAATGGTTGCGGTATGAGTTCGTTGGTGACGTTTATAATATAATAGATGATTTAGAGGTAAAAGTTTTGGATATTTTATTTATTTATATGTGGAAATGTTCATATTTGGAAAGGGTAAAACTTTTTTTCGCGATCAGGTAATTTCATTATGTTCTTTTTACTGGGTTTAAAGATTGAGAAAATTGTCATGTATTTTCGTGAAATTTTTCTAATTTATGAGAAAAAAGCAGTGTACAATGGATAGTGAAGAGTGTGCGCAATGCCATTTTTGTGCAATTCTGGGATGTTTTTTTAAGTAAAAATAAGTTGGCGTGTACATGGTTTATGTGTATGTGTTATTTTGAAAAACGCGTAAGGAGTATGGTATTGTGCATCTTTTTCCCAATTTTGCAGTGAATATTTGTCATGATTAAGCAGTTTTGTTAGATAAAATTTCTAGCATAAGTGTAATTCGGCTAGTAGATTGTTGGAAGAAGTGTTCAGTAGATAAAAAGAAAACAAACATGTCTTCGGCGGCGGGAAAAAAAAATAGAGGGTTGCTGTAGGAGAAATTTTCGCCAAAAAAACGCCAAGTTACCATAATGTAAAGATCAACCTCAATTATTGTATGCCATCTATACAATAATTGATACATAATAATCCATATGAAAAATAAATATATAATCAATTAATAATTACATTGTCATGGATAGGATCTATGTTGTGGAGAGCGGAACTTATATATTAGCCAGTTTTTAAACCTATGTCTTCTTCAATACGTCATAACTTCAGTTACACACCTAATGATGTGTGTCGGTATTATTTTTGGGGTTATCCACAGAGTAGGCCAGTCACATCAGTTCAGGCAGTTGATAGTTCCATAGTCCAAAGTATATGATGTTGTGTACACTATTCTATGTTCATATAAACTGAATTCTAAGTTAACTTTTGATAAATTTGAAGTACACTTTTGTTAAGTTCACTGTTCAAGTAAATACTACTTGTCCACTTCGATACATCATAACTTCGTGTCTTTAACAGTTTGCACACCTCATTATATGTGTCCATAGCAATTTGCACACTGTGTCGCAGTTATCCACAAAGAAATCACGAAATTGCAGTTGGGAAGTTCATTGTAATATGTACACTATTTTACTATTATCCACAGAGGCAAATGTTTTGTAAATAATATCTTGACTCCCAGAGTGGTTATTGATCCCGACTGCCGTAGTGACGGGCCCAGGTTCGAATCCCTTAGAAAGCATGATTGCACTACTGTCTCTTCACAGGAGATAGCGGTGGCCACCTATTAGGTGCTTCCATAATGAAATGGCCATCAATTCTGATCCTTGCTGTGAAGCAAGGCTAATTGTTATTAAATAAAGTGCCCAGCCATTTAAGAAAAAAATCCATTCTGTACAATACTATCAATACATTCTACACTGATCATATTACTTTAAAAGCAACTTCACCATCTCTCAGATTTTGCAAATTATTCTATATACACTTGTGAACAAGAAAATTATAATCTGCACAATCAGGACTACTGAATTTTTAAAAATAGGATTATTTTTTATTAGTATATAAATATTTTAATTATTTTGTTTATTTGAATTTAATCATTATTTCCAAATAATGTACACATAATTAAATTACCATAGTATCATATTTCGCCTTCCCAGAGATCAACCATGCGATTCTGAACATTAATTAAATCGTCGTTCAGCATTTTTAAATAAATGATAGGCGTGTTGTATGTCTTTCTAGTAAGCTATTTTACAATATGGATTTAATTGAGATAGTCTTCATTCTTATTTCGATTAAATCCAATATATAATATTCAAATAAATATAAAACAGCAATGAAGTTTAACTTATTGGCTAAAGTGCAGAATCGCCCACTTATTTGGCACTTTTTACAAGAGTAAGAAGAATTGGATTTTTGTCAATTTTCTTTGACTTTTTAAATGAAAATAGGTCGAAGTGCACATGGATAAAGTTAAAGGAGTGTGCAGTGCCATTTTTTTGCAATTCCGGGATGTTTTTTTAAATGAAAATAGGTCGATGTAAACATGGATACAGAGTATGTGCAATTCTTAAAAATGCGCCAAGCAGTGGGTGATTCTGCACTTTTCCCAACTTTATAATCTCTTTTTGTTTGTTGTTATTATATAGTATGGGCCAAAACAGTACAAGAAATAGGACAATATGAACCTCCTTGATGAAGAGAGATCTATGCTACATTCCTTAAAAAATGCATAAAGCAATTCTTCAGTATGCTACATTCTTTAAAAATGCATAAAGCATTTCTTCAGAAATAATGTCAGTCTATGATTAAACTTTGCTATTTTTAAAATGCTCTAAGCTACCAATTAAAGTAAGCTTTCATTCATTTTCTTTTAGAGACAACACAGAAGTATTTCGTATAAAATTAATACCTACATTAACACTTTTACAAACAAATATATTGAATGATATAAAAAATATTTTAATTTTAATTATACACTTCCGAATTGCACAGATATCAAGTAAAACCTGAAGAAAAAATGTACCATAAGTAATTAGTTTTACGAGAGTCCATAGCATTTTCCATACCTGTGACAAATTGCCATAGTGTATAATCATACATCATCATCAGTATCAGTATCACAAAATAGGATTAATATAAATTTTAAAAATACTCTGATAATATTGTTATAGCTTAAAAGCATGAATAATCCCTTAAAATGAAAAGATTTTACTTACATATGTAGGTATTTATTACTGACAGGTTACCCATCTCTTCTCAAAAATTGTCATCATACTCTATATAAAATATTATGCAACGTATACGAAAACATTAAACAAATACAATGATAATCGTACCTCTTCACCGACACTGAAAATAACCTAAATTCAGAAAATATTAATTACATTATTTTACGTAACTAAATACTTTATACACATATTTTTAAAATAAATCGTACAGATGATCTACTAATTTAAAAAGAAAATAACTTAGACAACCAACAATAGTAACAATCATGTGTGGAAATAATTAAAAATGAAACGAATTCGGTCTGCTATAAGAAGTTTATGATCATTTCAACCAGTCTGTTAACCTTAATCAAATTTTAATCAATGATTCTCGGACGTAAAAGCTATAATCAAATTGAAACCTACGTAAAACTTCTGGTGCAACGAGACACAGATGTGAAAAAAATCCAACTTTCTAATATATTTATAGTAAAGATATTAGGCTTAGTTTAAAACTAATTAACTTACCACTCTGTTCTCCTAAAAAGACAAGCTTAAATTTACGTAAAGGATTTCCAAAATCGCCTGATGTAGACATGATTTCACCAAAACTTCAATTCAACGAACTACTCAGAGGAATGATGAGTTTATGTCCGCTGACAAGACACCGTCCGTACACACCCGAAACACAGTCAACACGTCTTCAGCGACAAGACACCATTCACCGGGAAAGAAAATACACAGATTATTAAGAATTATGACAGATGGCTTTACAACTTTTCGAGACGACGTGGATGGAAGACGGAAAAAACACTGGGTGCAAAGTTAAATTAAATTTAACATTTTCATGAAAATTTCTTACAAACTTTATGGATTGAATGAATTATTTTGTATTTATCTGAATAACGATACAGAAAAATAAAATTTCTCTTAAATGTTATAAATGTTTATAATTATAAGCTTATTAATGAACTTTGTTCCTTTAAAACTGTTTTTTTTTCCACAGAAATAATAGCATTTAAAAATATATGATAAATGTAGAAAAAGAAGCTGCAAACTGCCAGGGAAAGAATGATAGCTTGTAACAAGTAGACCGTATTTAAATGAAAAATAAAACGAAATATGTCGGGCGGTTCCATATAATTTTGTTAAATAAAGTACAAAAATGCAAGAAATATATGTTTAGTACAGTGTTATTATTGATGAAGCAAAAATCACGGAAAGCTAAGTACTATTCCAGCTGTAACTCCATGAATAATTGTTTAACACTGATTTAAGCAATGATTCTCCATGATTTAACATTGATTTAAGTTCTTGATCTGAATCATCTCATCATCATAATTCCGCCCGTGTCCTTGCTACTTTTCGTATCTTCGTTAGTTTTTTCATTCTAAAGTCTCTGATAACATTGTCACCAATGTACTATGCCGAATTGAGGTAGATGATATTTCATCTACTGTGATAAAAAAAAATCACTGCTGCTCAATCAAGCGATGGAGAACTTTAACAACTTTTAACATCAAATACCTCCTCTTTAAAATTTCAGGAGCATTATTTCTCCCTTGAGGATATTCATCTGTACTGTGACATGTCACAAAAACATCCCCGTCCTTTTGTTCCTCAGTCTATGAGATTTGCAATTTTCAAAACCATACTTTTTTCTCTCATTCCAGTATTTCAAGCCCTCGATCTAATCTCTAAACATTTTGTATGGCCTAGCATGAGAAAAGAAATGCGCAGCTGCAATCAGTGTCAACGAGCTAAAATCGTTAAACATACCAAATCTCATATCGGCACATTTGCTGAACCCGATGGCTCGTTTTGCACACATGCATATAGATTTTATAGGCCCTCCCCACAGCTGACTGTATCATGGCCTTGAAGCGAAATCAGTTTCGGAAGGTCACGTGATCGAAATAGTCGATCTCTTTCTCTTTACCATAATCCCGGAGTTAAAGTTTACCGAAATAATAGTTTGTCTTAAAATTAATATAAATTAATAAACGTGAGTAGGTCGTATGATTTACATTAAATTTTTCATACTGCAATATTTTTAAAGGCGGTAAAAATGTATATCTTCAAGAATTTTTAAAACAATTTGTACTTCGTTTATGTAACTAAAAATATCATTGAGATCACCACATGCGAACTTCATTTATTAATTTTGATAAAAATGAAATCCATTTACGTAATCTGAATCAAATTTATTGTCAAAATAATATAAAATCCACATAAGGGGGGGGAATTCAATAGATTTATATGTAAATTTAGATTTTCATACTAGTAAAATAAATATTAAGGGAAGATTATTTTTGTAAAACTCCATGCCGCTACCATCGATAGCTATATAACTTTTTAGAAGACAAATACCCAATCATCTCTCTTCACTCCATTCACTAATCAAATCTGCATATCTCAATTTATCAAAACAGGAATGAATTAAAATTCCTTAAATGCTAGAAATTGAAGATAAAGATGAACTTACATGCTTTTGTACTGTAAATAAATCTTCAAGATAATATCAAAGAACTAAATGCTAAATGCATCTATAAAAGACTCCATCTTTTGTACTAGTTCCAATTTAAATCAAATTCAAATCAAAATCACTTTTCCAAACCATCCAAGAGGTAAGTGATAGGCTTGGTTTTTTTTAAAGTGATTTATCCAAATTACACTATTCCACATTAAAAATGAATCATAAACTTGAAGCTTACCATATACATACATCTACTCGAACATACACAATGGTAAAATTTTGAAAAGTTTGGGCTGGTTTTTTTCGGTTCTACATGATTATATCAAATCGGTCTGGAAAATGAATTCGACCCCCTTCGGTATCTTAAACTTCCATCTATACAGACAGGGTAAAAATTTTGAATCTAATCTGTTTAGAGGATTTCCTGGCACGCTTCGGTGCTACATGATTCGAATATCTATATATCACGCCCGGTCAAATGGAATTATCGAATGCTTCCTTCGGTATCTTAAACTTCCATCACATAATACAGCACAATAGACTGAAACTCTTCTACTTGTCCTCTTAGGCATATGCTCAGCCATTAAGGAACATGTCAAAGAAACGTCTACTCAACTTGTTTGCTTTAAGATTACCTTCCGAACTAGTAACTGGTGATGCCATAAACCAGACCTTAAATCTCACTTATGTAAACAGTTTACTTCAGATAATGAGATTTTTTAAATCCTATTTTTACTGCCCTACACGGTAGTCCCAAAATTTGCATCAACCCCTCATTAAAAGCTTGCTCTCATATTTTTTTTAAGGTCTGATAAAGTTAATCCTCAGTTAACATCACGTTATACTGGACTTCATTTAGTCTTTGACAGAAGTGACAAGAATTTTATCATTGATGTAAACGGGAAACGTACTAGAGTTTCAATTGATAGCGTAAAACTTGCTTATCACCCTCCAGATGACATTACTTATATCCCGGCTTTACTTCTTCTAGGTTCAGCTCTCTCCGCACGATTCTTTAATCAAACATCTACCACTAAAATTCGGTGTAAAGTCCCGATTTGCTAAGCATTTAGTTCCGGACTACATTCATTGAGTACAGACTTGTACTATATTTAACGTTTTGTATTACGCATTTGTTCCAACTAGAGCTACTAGAGATACGCTTTATAGTAGCTTTAGTTTCAACTTCATCTATATAACCATGAATAGTATATTTTTATTATATTGTACTTCATTCGTTATATTTCACTATATTAGCATTATATTATCCGTTTTTTGTATATAGAGTAAATATTTATTATAATTTGTAATCATGACTTAGTCACTGGGGGGCATACTGTACAGCATTTCATCATGCGTGCGAGAGGCTCCACATCAGCCAACCGGCAAGAGGCGCACATCACGTGCTCTGTTTACATCACATTTCTCTCGCCTCACAGTCTCTTTTGGAGGCTGCCGTCGGAAGAGAAAGACTGTTGTAGAATGCTCGCAGTACGAATCTCATTTCTCTGCGTGTAATAAAATATATTTGCATAGCGAATGCTGTTTCATTCAATATATGGAGTCACCTCAACCAGTAGCACTTTTAATGGTAACCTCCTTCAAATGCAAAACTCTTTTTTTTTTTTTTTTTCCTAATTGAGCGATTTTATATTCCCCCATATAAGATTTAGAAGTTTTCTACACAATTTTCAGCCTACAAGAATTTACCTAGAAACTTCTCATAAACGATGAAGCCTTTTTCAAAGGTTTTCATAAATGTTATGTCTCAAGAATATTTTTTCATATGCAAATATATTTCTGCATGATACAAAGCTATATATGTATGTATGTTTTACAAAGATATATATCTAATAATAAATTGGTATTGTGAGAGAATTTCGTGGAACCATTCAATAACAATCACTACTGAAGTGGCAGGGACGGTGATAACAGATAGCTTGACTCATAGTAGGTAACTGATCGCCAAAGCCCGGACCCTCGTCCTGTATTGACATTTTGAAGTTGAATGTACCGGGTTTTAGAGGGATCCTTCAGTGGCGGCGCAGACCCTGCCCGGCTTTATATGTAGCCTCAGCAAGGGCGAAAACGTTGAAACTTAATACAAAATACGTCACTAGTCATCTTTGCCTCGGGGCACCACTCTCTCAGCATCAATTAATTCGTTTCGGTGCCTTACCTTACTGCGTCAGTCCCCGTCACTGGGACTATGAGGTCCCCCATCGAGATCGAGTAAAGCTACTATTTCGATCCACAACAGCCAAAGGAAACAGACACGACAGTACAGACGGTCCCTGCAAGCCTGAACCAACCTAATACAATATCGGGTTCTAGTCCTGTGAAGACTGTTTGTATACCCCCGTGGTTGAGACTGCCTAGGTACAGATCCTAACCAGTACTTCCCAGAATTCTCTGAGCTGTGTGGAGTGATGAATTTACCACCTTCACCCACAGCATTTTCCCAGTATATTAACGTTTTGACTGCTACATCAGAACAAGTGAGCACAGAACAAATGAAAGCAGCAGCTGAAGAATGCATACCAGTTAATGATGGTAACAGAGATTTGTGTGATGCTTTTGATGGCGCATGGCAAGAGAGTGGCATCTATCACATAAGGGTGTTGTTACAGTATAAGGTATTTCTCCCACTTCCCTAGCGAGCCTTCGTGGTGTAGTGGTTCTGCACACTGAGTCGGGATTTCAGAGGTCCGTGGTTCGATTCCCCGGCGAGGCGGTTGATATTTTCATCTCTCTGGCTTCTAAAAAATCCTAATGACTCTACAAGTGGCGCCCGAACTAAAAAGGGTTGTGGATGATGATTCTCTGCACCCAGGATTTGGCGACTAGGTCCCCTAAAACCCTAGTCGCCCTTTAAAAAGGGGAATATATAAGGTATTTCTCCCACTTCCCTAGCGATCCTTCGTCGTGTAGTGGTTCTGCACACTGAGCCGGTTTTTCAGAGGTCCGTGGTTCGATTCCCGGCGAAGGCGGTTGCATATTTTTCATCTCTCTGGCTTCTGAAAAATCCTAATGACTCTACAACAGAGACAAGTGTTGATACACGTAAAGTGATAGCCGTGCAATTATGTCTAAATTTAGTAAGTGCCCCCCCAAAAAAGTCAATCACTTCACTTGAATACATGCACCGCTAATTACAGTGGAGCAAGTGGGGGAATGGAGGTCAGTGGTATCAAAGACATTTTCAACCGATCTCAGACACTGCATGTATAGTGCT